AGACGAGCTGCAGGCTCGATGATGATTTCACCGTACGCCTCCTCTTGACCGCAGTCAATAAAGTCCCATGTTTTCAGTTGCAAGACCTCCCAAAACATGTTTGCAGCTTTGGTTCGTCGCGCATTGCGAGTGAGCTCCCCGAAGGTTAGTTGAGATGAGGCAGGACCTGATCCATTTCCTCCTCCCTCTTCCTGTAGCCTCGCCGCCGCAGCTAAGCGAGAACGCAGCAATCTACACATATGCACGGTATTGGGATGCCATCGCGTGGATGGTTTCGCCTCAGCCACGTCGTCCTCCTCTCCTACTGGAGAGCCCCATGCGTTTGTCCTGGTGAACTCTCCTTCTTCCCTCTCCTCCTCCTCCTCTTCCCCCCCCCACTCCTCTGCCTCCACTTCGTCTCCTTCTCCATGCCCGTCTTCCATTCCCTCCTCCGCAGAGGTGGGATCTTGGAAAGCATGACCTTCGAAGTGCATTTCCAGATCCGAGTAGCCGTTATCCTGGTCATCTGTCGATATGGTGGGATAAGTGGGGGAAAAAGGGCCCTCTTAGCATCCCGTGCCATGCATGAAGCGTCCTGACGCCAAGCACAGGGCAATCATTCGGTAGGCCGCCCTTCCTGTCATGTCCAACCTGACGGAAGCCCGTCTCTGCCTCCCTCTTCTCACCTAGCCTGAAGCCATCTTCCGTGTCGCCTGCCCCCCCTCCCCCCCCTTCTTCCCTCCTCCCTTCGCATTCGCACCCCTCCTTCTCCTCCCTTCGCCGCTTTTGCACCCTTCCACTCCCGGCCCCTTCTTGTCTCCCTCCTTCTCTCCCTGCCTCTCTCCATCCCTCCCGTGTAGCGATCGGCAGAAGGAACCCAGGCGCAGGCCTCATCATCTTCCGGATCGCGCCCTCCAACCCCTCCGCCAACTGCCCCGTCAATGCATGCGCCTGCATCCGCAGCCCCACCTCCCTCTCCCCCTTCTTCCCGCCATCCCTCCCCACGCCCCGCTGTCGATCCCGGGGCCGCACGCGCTCCAGCATGATGTCCCTCGTGTCGGCCATCTGTGCCTTCATCTCCGCCCCAGAGAGCACCAGAGACGTCTCCATCGGCAAACGCCGCTTTCGCCTCCCCTCCTTCCCTTCCGTCCCGCCCTCGGCAATCCCCATACTGCTCCCTCGGCGACCCCAACGCCAGGACAGGGAGGCGCGGCCGCCGAACCGGAGGGGGCGGGCTGCGGCCAGGTCGTAGTCTCTCTCCCCCTCGCCCATCGCCTCTCCCTCCCGTCCATCGTCATCTGCCCCCGCAAGGCCCGACACCAGCTTGTGCTCGGGAGTGCCCTTCACCTGCAAGGAAGGCAGGGTCCTCGTCACCTCTTCCCTTCCGCTCCCGGCCTCCCCTCCCTCCGTCGTCCCCTCCCTCGACACCTCCATCGCGCAGCCGCCCTCCCCCTCTTCCTCTTCTTCCGTGTCTCTTCCAACCACATCCATCCTCACCGCACTTTTCCCCCTCCATGAGGCCTCGTCCTCCCCCCCAAACGACATCTCCCCGCCCCCCTCCTCCCCGTACCTTCCCAGCTCCATCCCCTCTATGCCTACCATCATATCCCCCTCCGACTGGACCAGGCCTGATAACATGAAGCCTTCCTGCACCCCAACTTTGCAAGGATCAAACACTTCCCAATCCTCCACCTCCTTCCCTTCCTCCTTCACCTGCCAACCCCCTACTGCCAACGACCGTCCCTCTTCCTTGTCGGCCTCCCTACTTCCCACCCACCCCCCACCCCCCCGGCCCCAATGCCCCCGTAGACACCCAGTTTTCCCTCTCCATCAACCCCTCCTAACCCTCTTCTTTCAACCTCTTTCCTCCCACCCCCTTCCTCCTCTGTCTCGGGCAGGCATATATCCTGCCTCCGGGCCAGGGTCAAGGCCGCCGCCGCCGCCCACTCCCGGCTCAGAGGCGGAAGCCCGTCTTCTAGCTTCCATCGCTGAGTAACCCCCTCCCCCAACAAATTGGCCTTCGCCTCCTCGCCTGGGTTCCGCCCGCCACCCTCGTTAGAAAGCTCGCCTTCTCCCCGTGTACCTGGCAGCTTCCTTGTCGTTCGCAACCTCATGCAGGACCCATTCCCAGGCACGGCCCCCACCGTGGAAGACGGTGCACAGGAAATGTGGGGAGTAAGGGGTTGGACGCTGGTCGGAAAAATGTCCTGGGAGAGCGCATCCGGGCGGAAAGCGACTTTCATTTTGGCAAGCGCGTCATCACAATCCGTGCTCAAATAACGCACTTTGTGGGAATAAATGCGGACGACACCCAGCAACAAGCTGCCGGATACACGGAGGGGCAATACTTCTCCTTTCGGATTAGCAATTTTGTCTGCGTTGGAGGGTTTAAACGAGAATTTGAGAGGATCGTGCTTATAAGGACAATCAAGGACAACGGGAGTGCCATGGGCTTGATACTTGAAGACATTTTTGCTTGGCAACTTCTGCTATTCTGAATTGCAAGCTGGAATATTTTCCAGTGATCATCCCACTTAAATCGATGAAAAAGAAAGTGAGCGGATGAAAATGTGCAAGCACATCGTGAAACACATGCCTCCTACCTGCGCTTTTCGTCAGGTCGGTTTGAAAAATCAATTGGCGGTTTAGCTTCTTTTCCGACTGTACGGCAAGCCACACCTTACCAAGGGTGCCCTTTTTGCCTACTATGAGCTGCGCGTATAACATTGCGTCCGAAAGAGGGGTGGCTGCGCTGGGGCCGGGCTCGGCTGATGATGAACGGCACGAAACTCGTTTCTTTCACGGGCGCCCGTCGAACCCTGACGCCCAGAGCCTGATCGCCGGCACTATGGGTTTGAAGAGTGCAAAGTATGGTAGAACGAAAGTTAGATATCGAGTACCACGATTATTGTCACCATCCCGTGGTCGTTATCTTTTGGCAATTGTTAACACTGGTGCTTAAGCAGCCTTGACTTTCCTTTCGCTCCATGACGATTGAGCGAGCCTCATGAGTGATGTTTGTCGTCCTGCAAGAGGGAGATCCGATCTGTTCGACGCCGGTAGATGAAGGCATGCAAACAGATCCGAGAAGAACATTGTGATATACTTCGTCGTTTTGAAATATTCTTAAGTGTGGAGAGTGGATGAAACTTTCCCAAAAAGTTGTTCCGGTCGATTTTCAAGGCTATAACATCTTCAGCGTAGCCAGTAGCTAAGGTTCTCAATTCACAACACCTGTAGACGCAGATTTTATAACTTCATATCTTCTGCACCTTTAGACAATCTCACATCACCTATTGTTTCTCTAAACATGTTTGTGCAGTGAAACTCGTCTTGGATTGCTCGAAAAAAAGTAAAAAGGGCATAAGAAACAGGAAGAGGGTATGAAGCATTATAAAAATATTTCACACATCGTAACAAGTTTGTTAATGAAGATGATGATATTTATAAGAGAGTCTTTCTGGCTCTGTGTTTTAAGTTCGAAGACCCTAAATTTTTGTCCCAGAAGCTGAGCAAAACCTACGCCTGAGATCTCTGTCATTCGCGCGACAGACATAAAGAGCCAGGGAAGGAACAGGGTGAAGTTGTGGGTGAGAAAAATCATATAACGCACTTCGATTGCCTTTTATTCTCCATCGTGTTTCAGTTCGATTTTGCTTTTCTTGCCTTTCTCGTCGCTTATGAGCCCCCAGCCCGGTCCTTCGGACTCCACGTACACCACTTCCTCAACGAAAAAAATGTCCCTCCAGTCGTTCGCAATCGCAAAGCGGCCTTATCATCCATTCCTACACATCAATACCCGCCTAAAGAACGCTTGAAAGAGCCCCCCAACTCCCTCTTTTTGACATCCAAAAAGATCGAGTGGGGAGTCTCTCTGGGACCTCGGAGTGGTGGGTGCCCCGCCCGTGCGCCACTGAATCAGATCCAGGCGGCCAAGAGCCCCCGCGACAATGAGCATTATACCACATGCGAAAATATTCCAAACGGATAATAATTTCACCTCCCAATGTGCCAATTTTGCGTTCTACCACAGGGAACAGCGGCCATGGTGCAGACTCAAGATCTGCCCTGGCCCGTGGATGAGTTGACCGAAGAAGTCTTGGACCCTCGCCGGTTGCTCGGACTTTGTCGCCTCCCACCCAATTTGAGTGTGACTTGCGACCAATTACCGTGAAGCCGATGGTGTATTTTTTAAATGCGTCTCACAAAAAGTAACAATGAAACAAAAAATACAAAGATTAGACTCACTGGCATCATCAGGTTGGACATGCTGCTCTGCTTTTAGATTTCTTATTCTTTTGGTTGGGGTTTGACATCCTTCTGTGAACACTGAAGCACGAGCACTGTACTGCTCACTCCTCCACCCGGTGTATGTCCGACGCAAAGACGACGAGGTACATTGACCCGCGAGAAAAAACATCCACCAACCCACAAGCCGTTGATTATCTTGAATGCCACATATAATTATTGGGAAGTACTTCTGTAAAGTTTGATACAGGCATGAAAAACGTCATAAATTAATCCCAGACGTGGTTGCGAAGTTCCCGGAACCTTCCTACACGAACTAGTCACAACTGTGCGCATGCGTGCATATCTTATCATGGAAATATCGGTCGAGTGTCTTGTAACAGTGTTAGATGCCCTTTTCCTTTAATTTGGTGCCTACGGCACCCCATAATCATTCCATTTCCGGGTGGCTCGGTGTTTCAACCGTCTGTTTACCAGGCACATACTAATTCACCGCGTGAGTATCCGCTTGTTCTGTTCGTACTTTTGTGTATTACGCAGATGTAAGAGAAATTGGCGCTATCTTATTGAGCACACCCTGTAGAACTACTGCATTTGATATTTCTCCATGAGTGGCCGCGAAGGGAACTCAAAAGTGCCGTCACTCGAGGGCCAGTCGACTATGTAACAGTAGCGGCACAGCCGCGCTTTGCTCCAGTAATGTTGTCAGCGCGTACAATTAACTGCATGATGTGAAGGAAATAACCCGCACATCCAATATCACACCGTGCGCAAACAGATATATCCAGGAACCATGTATAATGGACGGACAGCGACATCTCGATGCTGTGGACCCTGAGAAAGGAGAAGCTGTATCTGCCCAAAATGCCGCTCCCACACTTGAGCTGGGCCTTAGTTTGACGGCATTGTGGGTAGGATACTATCGCATGCGGGAGGTCGAACAGAAAACCCCTCTTTTCTATGACCCTGTGGCAAAAGCAATAATGGGAGAAGATGATGCGCGGTGGGCTTTCCAACGTATGCAAGAGACGCTTGAGGATAGTTGGCTTATGAGCAAGGCTGCATATGCTCGCAGCGAGGCGAACTTTTTTCCTGTGCGCACTCGATTCATCGATGACCACATAGGGCGGTCGCTTGAAGCCCAGATCCTTTGCGCGCAAAGTACTTCCGGCGGGAAACCGCCCCGGCAATTGCAGGTTGTAGACATGGCCTGTGGGTTCGACGGCAGGGCATTCCGGCTCGACTTTCCCACCAATACCCTCTTTTTTGAAGTGGATCGGGAAGAGGTGATGGCTCTCAAAAAAAACCGACTCTCTCAAATAAGACCGCCCGACCTCACCTGCGCTCGACGTGTCTGCATATCTGCTGATATTATCACAGACAAATGGGAGACAGCGCTGTTCGACAATGGTTTTGATCCCGCTTTGCCCACCGTATGGATCATGGAAGGCATTCTGACGTATCTTCCCTTGCCTGTAGCCAAGGCACTCTTGGCACGGGTGCGTGCCATCTCGGCACCGGGCTCTTCATTGGTATGCGATGTGGTGAATGCCGCAATCAAATACGCTACACCCATGAAAAAAAGGATGAGGTTCTTGCGTGACGAAGGGGCTGAGTACAACCTCTTCATCTCAGATCCTATTGCCTTTTGGACCAACGCCGGCTTCTCCCAGATTCGCTATCATTTCCCTGGCGACAACGATGCCAGCTATGGTCGTATACCTCCCCATCCCTTCTTGCAGGTTATGCGGATCGTCATTCGTTTTGTAATTGCTGTGCTATATCTTGGTGCAGGATTCTTAAGCGGCTTCTTCTTACCGATTTGGGCGGGGATAATAGTCCTTGTTGGAAGCATCGTCCTGTGCGAGGGTTGGGCGTTGCTTTTTCAAGAGTGGTTGGCACGGCGGCTGACCCTCTTCTTTTTTCCATTGGCTTATTTCACTGAAGTTTTTGTATAAGCGACTTTGCCAACCACTTGCATGAGATCATTCACGGTTTCGTGTTGGTGGGGTGACTAAGGAGTAGATCTTTGGCAATGTGGCTTTGGATGTAGTTAATGTTGTTTGCATGGGCATAGAATGAATGAATATTCGTATCGTCATAGCCTAGTCACGCAGACAAAGACTGTGATGCATCGTTCAGATACTCGTAATTTAGATGCTCAAAGCACGAGGCGGCAAAGTGCGGAAAGAAATTACAATGATCAAGCAAGCCCCTCCAAAAAAGCCTATTAGGAAATAGTTAGTTTTTCCAGAAATAGGCGCGTTTTTCCCCATCTTTTTTTAAAAAAAATGTGCCTTTTTCACATGATGTCAATTATCATCTTTTAAAATTATTAAATAACGATGGATTTTATCTCATGAATGAATATCCAAGCCTGTTTTGCCACAACTTCGGGTGTCGGAACGTAGGTGGGTGGTACGCATCTCACCTGCCTTCAGCAGCCGCAACACATAGCTATGCTTCCACACTGCCAGCATGTGCGCGTCGTTGAACCCGTTACGGCGCTCTTACGTCCAACAAATGCACGGTGGCAGAATGGTAAAATTCAGTGCCGAGTTTGCCTCGACGAGGCATTATGCTTCATGTTGACAGGGTACGAACAGCGACAATGACGAAGACGCCCAGCCAGCCTCTTTCCCGCTCGACCGTCTGCAAATCTTCAAGCTCTTTTCTTGTGAAAAAAAAAACATGTAAATTATATGCGTCATTCCGATGAAATTGTGGTCACACCATATCTTTGGCGTAGGACGCTTTGAAAAGATGCGACGCGAACGGCCATCCGACACATGAAGGGCAGCGAGAGGGAGGAAGTATGTCGCGGTAATCTCTGCTAGCACGAAAACGGTGCGATGCTCGTCCGTGTCCCCAGAGACTTATATATGGCTTCATAAACATGTTGAATTGCGAAACGTATTTGATGGTAGTTTTCTTACCCATCGATAGGATGCTTACTTCAGATGACTCAGGGGGGACGCATGCTTCGACGTCTCTACCCTCAACCAGGCCTCGACGGACGCGACAAAGCATTATTAGCAAATTGAACGATTTCGTCCACCGCGATTACATCACAGACATTGTCTTTTATGGTTTCTGGCTTGGCTTTTGGGTGTTTATGCCCCCTGTCATACTCTTCGGTACGCTTCTGCTGGCTGTATACGACCTCATTACCGCGAGAGGCTATCGTCAGCCGTGTGGCCCCGTGCTGGTCACAGGGTGTGACACAGGCTTCGGCAAGGCTTTAGCTCTGGCACTAGCTGAAAGACATTGGAAGGTGCGGCCGCAGTAGGCATTCTTTGAAATTAGAGCTCCCATGGTTTCCCCTCTTCTATCCTCATCTCAGGTGATTGCTGCTTGCTCGACGGATACAGGAGTCAAAAGTTACAGAGAGCCTGCCAATGGCTCCATGAATATCGATCCAATCAAGCTGGACCTGAGCAATGACGACGAGATTCAGGCATGCGCCGAGTTACTGGCTGCCCAATACCCAGAGGGGCTTTACGCCCTGGTCAATAACAACAACAACACCGTGGTAGGGAAAGACGGACTGGTGGAGTGGATGACCATTGACAACTACAAAATGTACGTCATCTTCGTCTCCCGAGTAACTTCCAGAAGCTACTCTTCGTCCCTTTATCAATTCCCTCTCGTTGGGTGGGAGCCGTTGGGGGTAGGAGCACCAAGAAGTGCACGAGAAGCCAACGAGACCACATCTGACGTTTACTGCACAACTTTGCCTCTTTGAATTTCTCAGGCACATGGAGGTGAATCTTTATGCATTCATTCGTGCTACCAAGGCTTTCCTGCCTTTATTGAAGGTGAGACGTGTCACCCGTCCATGCCAGATTGAGGAGGAGGGGTGTGTTTCTCCAATGCAATATTTAAAATTAAAGTATCCCTTCTTAATACAAAAGGGACCCTACATGTGCGTGATGGAGCAGCATCACCTCTCCTCAGAGAGCAAGCTTATAGACATTGCCTCTCACCTTCTCTTCGAATTCTCTTTTTTCGGCATGTCGCCACAGAAATATACTCGTCAAGCTTCGAGATGCAAGCCACGCATCGTGACGTTGAATTCTAATGCCGGAATAGTCCCAGGGCAGCCCAATGCTTCGTGTACGTTGGGGAAAGAAGGACGGGTCGATGGATTGGATTTTTATTCTCGAAACCTTTCTACCCCATTTTTCTCCCGATGGACTTCGTTATGGATTTATGCATTGTTCGTATATTTGGCGCTGAAACCAATCTCTGTTTGTCTTCCTGCCAGGTTACGCCGTGGCCAAGCATGCGTGCGACGCGTGGATGAGCTCCTTGACATTTGAGGCAAACGTGTGGGGCATCGAGGCGGCCACCGTGTGTCCATGCTGGCACGAGATCGACATTGACTACTTCCAGCACGATGTCTTCGCCCGCCTCCCTTTGAGAGTGCAGGTTCGTTGGCGTGAGCCTTTCCTTTTGGGGGGGGAAGGGGCTGGAAACGGGGGACTCTGAGAATCCCTTGCGATCTTGCTGTTGTGCCGGAGTTTTGATTCCGTGTCATTATTCATTCATTCGATGCTTCCTTTGCAGGAGGAATACGGACGACAATACTACAACAAAGTGATGGAGAGCAGTAAGGCGTTGCGGTAGGTCGTGGAAGGATTGGCGGGAGCAGCATCGCAGTTTTTTTCCACTCGCGTAATACGAATAAAGGTTATTCATTCGGAAACGCATCCTATTTCTGTATTCGTTGCTCGTCCTCATGTCCTTCTCCCACATGCTAGGAATCCCATCATGTGGAAAGCGGAAAATGTGACTCACGCCCTGGTCCACGCGGTGACGGCGGAGAAGTTGCGCCCTTACGTCGTTGTGGGTATCGATGGCCGTTTCCTCATGTCCCCGCTCCTGCTCCTGCCGCGCAGGTAAAAACTTCAAGTGAGATTTTAGGTTAAGTTGATAACCTATTGATGTATACATCCGACGCCACCGAGCAGGCTGTACAACACGATCTTCAGCTGGGGAACGCGTTTCAAGGACGTAAAGCCGCGAGCCTTGGAATTGCAGGTCCCCCACCGCTCATCATCACTACCAGCTGGTGAAAATCTATAGGGCCACGGAAGCGCAACCAAAGGAGGAAAAAAAGGATCATGTAAGGACATGCATCACAGAAATATGAACCAATATGATTGATGAAAGCAAATCATACCTTGTCCTGAAGATAATTTTATTTTAAAGACCCGCAGTTACCACGCGCTTTATTGAAGTCGCTAGGTTGCGTTTTCTTGGCATTTTTATGTTTTAATTGGTGACTGCGTCCTTCAACGATGCTATAAAACTTGGATGTAGGAGGACTGCACTCATAATTGATGAACTTTTCATGTCCGCTTTTTCAAAAGTAGCGGGTGCCGGAATTTATCTGTGTAGATCATTATTTAGATTATTATTTAGATTATAATTTAGATTACTAAAAGGTCTTACATCCATCCTCATGGTGACAGGACGACTTCTTGACATTTTCGTGGCCGAATACTTAAATATTCAAAAAATAAATTAAAAATACAAATCTCATGCGATATCTCCATCGCCCTGGGCGGGGGGAGGTCGAGGAGCGAGCGACATCGGGGTACCAGCTAAAGTCGAGAATTATGTGTAGTTCATAGATTGAAATTTTAAACAGCAGTAGTATGTATGTAATAGATGAAATTATGACATGTACTGTTTTGTTGAAATGACTAATGTCGCACTTTGTCAAACTTCAAAGAGAAAGCAGCGTTAGCGTGGCTGTTCCTCTTCGCACAAAAACCGCAACTTACAACCTTCATGCGAAAGTCTCGTGTACGAATAAACATTTCTGGAAAAACACATTATTGGACAGGTTGAAATAATGTCTACCACTGTTGACATTCCCTCAGCACCCTCAAAGCCTGAAGAGAAGCATGAACCGCTCCTTAGCCGGCTAAATAATTTTCTGCACAGCAACATATATGTGTACATTATCACATATTACTTGTACTGGCTTGGATTTTGGCTCTTCATTCCCGTGGTGGCTTTTTTCACTATGCTTGGCTTTGGCCTTTACGATCTCTTCACGGCCAAGGGATTTCGTAAGCCCTGCGGGCCTGTGCTCATCACCGGCTGTAGCTCCGGTTTTGGTTTGGACCTTACCATGGCTCTGGCAGCACAGGGTTGGAAGGTAAGAGTGATCGAAAGCGTATTCTGATGCGTGATATACATAGGCTTCACAAAAAACTACTATCTGTCCTCTCTTGGCTTGCATTGATTTGTTCGTAACATTCCACTGGTTCCAAGGTCTATGCCTGTGTCCGCAGAGAGGCAGACATGGCGCCTTTTTCAAACAACCCCAACGTGAAGGGCCTTATCCTTGACGTGACGAACGAGGAGCAAGTACGTGCGGCATTCGCGACGGTGGATGGGGAGAACCCTGAGGAGGGCTTGTACGCCCTTGTGAACAACGCAGGTAGGAAGCACGAGCAGGCGTGGGCGGATGAAAGTGATTCTGCGCTGAAGCGCACTAATATTCCTTAACTGTCAATTTTGGACACAGGCTTTGAGCATTACGGCACCACCGATTGGTGCAGCCTTGACTACTTTAAAGTGTAGGTATCAAGAGCTCGTCCGTACATAAGCTTTGTTTGCCAAGACAAAGTTATGATAAATATTAATATCCTTGCACATACACACAAACACACGACTCAAAGCCACATGGATGTGAACTACTACGGTCCTATCCGGGTGACTAAAGCCGCGTTGCCCCTGCTGAAACGGTACGGCCGGGGGGGGTCAGCAGCTGCCCGCATCATCAACATCAACTCGACCAGCGGGCTCTTGCCCGGCCTCCCTTTGAAAGGCGGTAAGACTCCTGTCCCTGGACGATCGATGGGCGTAATGTTGCAGACACCATCGTAATCCTTTGCCTGATGGTTAAACTTATACCTCGCTTGTTCTGCCCCCTGCCCTACCTTTCGGTCC